GAAGCACAAGTATTTTTTTTTCCCTTGGCACTACAGCCACAGTGGGCCTAGGTCTACCTCCATGAACTTCTCCATTCACTTTGGTTTTTCTAGATCTTACTCATTCGGTAGGACTCCTTGGGCGGGTGATCAGCTCATCGCAAGGCACCTGTACACAAACACAGAAAAACACACACACAAACTAAACATCCATGTCCTGAGTGGGATTCGAACCCACAATCCCAGTTTCCAAGCGAGCGAAGACAGTACATGGCATAGGTAAATATCTGTATTAAATTCCCAGCATTTCTCCATTATTTGTCTCAGGGTGAATAAATTGTGTCTTGTTGACCTATTGGGTCGAAATCCTGATTGATATTCTCCTATTATTTTTTCTATATATAGATCCAGTCTCTTTTTTAGTATCCTTGTTAAAATTTTATATGCTGTAGGTAGTAATGATATATACCTGTATAGTTACTACATGTTAATTTATCCCTTTTTTTAAATATGGGACATATACTGCTCTTTCCCAATCTTCTGGTATCTTTTCTTCTTCCCACACTTTATTTATAATTCTGTGGAGTGCTATTATTCCTTCTTTTCATCCTGCCTTCAATAATTCTGCTGGTATGTTATCTCCTCCTGGTGCTTTGTTTAGTTTTTGTTCCTTTAATGCTTCTTCGACTTTTTTCCTTTGTTGGAGGGTCTATTATCTCTTCCATATTCTGATTTTGATTTAATAACTGTTCAAAATATTCTATCCATGTATTCATAATCTCTGTTTTATTATTTATTAGAAGCCCTTTTTGTCTCGGATAAATTCGGTTTGAAACCTTCTTTCATATATTTGATTCAACCAAAGGCATTTTTTGTTTTGTTATTTTTGAAGTCTTCTTCCATTTGCAGTAATTGCTCATTTAGAAAGGCCCGTTTCTTTTTCCTGCAAATCTTGTCTGCTTTCCTCCTTGCTTCTTTATATGCCTCATTTCTTGCTCTTGTTGGTCTTTCCATATATTCCATATATTTCTTATTCTTGAGGTTTATACTCTCCCTATATTCCTTGTCGAACGATTCTCTATTATCCTGTTTCTCTTGATGATCCTGAGTCCTCTCAGCTTCTGTAATTATTGCAGTTTTAAAACCTACCCATATCCCTTCTACCATTACTTCTTCATTTGCTCTATTGTCATTAATTTCTTTAATTTTATTTTGAAATGCTTCTCTCTAATCACTCTCTGTAATCTTGTCAGTATTAAATTTCTTACATTTCTCATACTGCTTAGATCTTTGACAACTTATTTTACATCTATATTTAACCTGTACTAAGTAACGATCACTATCACAGTTGGCCCCTCTTAATGTTCTTACGTCCAGGATATTCATTGCAAATCGCTTCTCTGTGAGGACATGATCTCTTTTATTGAAGGTTACCCCATCTGGTGCTGCCCATGTTCTTTTATGAATTTTTTGTGCGGGAAGTATGTAGAGGTGATGATCAAGTTCTTACTTTCTGCAAAATCTATTAACACATTGAGGACCGGTCACATGATATCATGCTTTTGGCTTTTAAACGTGGTGGACCGGTCGCATGATATCATGATTTTAGGACATGTTATATTGTAACACACTATACCTTGCTCTGGCGCCACCCAAATTGCACGCAGTGGCGTAATAAAACTCTGGAATGTTTGCTCACTTGTCAGTAACTTGACCTCGCTGTTTTCTTAACCCACTATAAACAAAAATGCTTTGCTGCTCTTCGAGATGTATGTATCAGCCAGTAGTTAGTGGTGGGGTATGGACAAGGACAAATTCTTCTCCGATGAGCTAGCTGACCTGCCTTGTGAGACACGTAGTCATGGTGATTCAGAGAGCGGCAGTGACGGGAGAACAAAGAATTGTGGCCACAGACAGTAAAAGTGACAGTAGCTCCGACAATAATGGGGTTAATAACATTGCTGGTACTAACATTGCGAGGACAGTAAAAAATCTAAAAACAAATCACAAAAATCTAAACCCTGATTCGAAATTGAAATACAAAGCATTTCTGGTGAATGTGGCGAAGGCCTGGGCTACAGACCAGATGGTGATGGCAGAACCAGAGTCAGACACAGACTTAGTGCGACCGGGCCCATCAACTCCCACCCCACGCAGACTCATGCGGACCCCCCGGGGCGACTTTCAGGTGATATGCAGAAACATACCCTCATGAAAATTGTGAAGAGTGAACATTCCAAGGGGAAGCATCCTAGGCAATGCCATGTTTGCACAGTTCACAAAAAAAAAGGAGTATGTCTACATTTGCAAGTTCTGTGTAATGCCACTTCACAAAGGGGAATGTTTCCAGAAATATCACACCCTCAAGCACTTCTAGGAGCATTGGTAAGTGTTCTTCAAAAATTTTAGTTCATAAAATTAATTAGGAGATTTTATATTAATTTTTAAAGTGAACAGTGCACAAGTTAGGATAGTAGGTTTAATAATGACGGCCCAGGGTGATTCAGACATTTAAATCGCCGGTCCTTAATGTGTTAATTTTATTCCATTATGGTTGGTTGTATCATGTAAACTTTCTGTCCCAATTACTCCTCTGTATTCCTTTTCTTTAGCTATGAGTATTTTGGCATTAAGATCCCCTAAAATAACCTTTATGTCATTACTTGGTATTGAATCATATGTCTCTTCCATTTGTTGATAGAAATAGTCTTTGACCTCCTCTTGTTTTTCTTCTGTAGGTGCATGCACGTTCATCAACGTGATATTGAAAAATTTTGTTCTAATTCTCAAAGTGCAAATTCTTTCACTTATTGGTTTAAAGTCTGTTATTGCGCTTTTAAATTCTCATTGTATTACAAAGGCTACACCAAATTCCTTATTGCCTTCTGTAACATATAGTATGTTTCTTTAAGTTCATGATTCCTTTACCCAGCGATTTAATTTCCTGTATGGCTGTGATTTTCATATTGTACTTATCTGTTCTAGTACTGATTTCATGGCACCCGGTTTATTGAGGGTTTTCACATTCCATGTACCTAGAGAGTAGTCCATATTCTTTGCCAATTGTCGTCTTCCATTCTGTTGAGGTTTCCGAGGCTTGATTCCAGGTTTTGAGACATTTATATTTTCTTTTTACGGCGAGAGGTCATCAGCCTCTCGCCCAACCCCCAACCTGGAAGACCAGGTATCTCTTTTAGTCTGGGTCATCCCCTTCGTCCTGTCCGGCATGGATGGCCCTACCAGTAGCTATGCTACTGCCATCATAGCTCTCAGGATCATTTGACAACACAAGCCCCTCCACTACATCAAAGTAGAGACACCATTGGGGGGACTATTATGCCTTACCTGGATCTTATTCTGCACCACCACCTTCAAAGTGTCTCCTTCGGAGCACATACACCAATCCCAGTATTTCTGCCACTTTTGAAATGCATCCTGGAAGTCTTTCTTTGTTAGGGTGTTTAGTACCGTCTTGATTTCCGCTTGTATTTCCTCAACCACATCAAATCTTCACCCCTTCAACTTGATTTTCAATTTGGGGAAGAGAAAGAAGTCGCATGGAGCTAAGTCTGGTGAGTATGGTGGGTGGGGAACAACTGCCATCTTGTTTTTAGCCAAAAATTCCTGCACAGTGTAAGCCGTATGAAGTCATGCGTTGTCATGGTGGAGTACCCAATCATTCGTGCGCCACTTCTCTGGACGTTTTCTCCTCATGCCCTCCCTCAAACACCTTAGAACATCACAATAGAATTCTTTATTGACCGTCTGACCAGGAGGGACAAACTCCTTATGAACAATCCCATCAATATCAAAAAAGCAGACCAACATGGACTTAATGTTGTTCTTGACTTGTCGAGCTTTTTTTGGCCAAGGTGAATAAGGGCTCTTCCATTGTGATGATTGCTCCTTACTTTCAGGGTCGCAGCCATAAACCCAACTTTCATCACCAGTGATAACCTTCGAAAGAAAGTTTGGATCCTCTTGAAGCTGTTGTTGAAGTTCCCTGCAGACTTCCAAGCGATGCTGCTTTTGTTCATTTTGCAGCAGTCATTGCACAAACTTCACTGCAATCCTCATGTTCAGTTCCTCTGACAAAATTCGTTGACATGTACCATAACTTAGTCCCAAGGTGTTACAGAGGTCTTGGATGGTCAGCCTACGATCTTGCAGAATTAGATCCCTAACTTTCATGACATTTTCTGGTGTGGTGCCAGTTGACGGCCATCCCGAACGATCGTCACCATCAGTCGATGTTAAGCCATTTTTGAAACGCTTATATCAGTCGTAAGTTTGTATCTGCCCTAAACTGTTATCACCAAAAGCTTGCTTCAACATTTGGTGCGTTTCTGCAGCAGTTTTCCCAAGTTTGAAAAAAAACTTTATACAGACACGCTGCTCTCTGAGGTCAGCCATCACAAAACCGCAAACTCACAGAAACGCAACAATGGAAATATGTTAACCAACAATAAACCCAACCACTCAACTTGACGCCGCTTGCCACACTGATTCAAGAATGGTGTGTGGGAGACACATAGTGGTATTTCTCTGTACTCATAACCATTTGCGCGCAAAATTCAAATTTCAGGAACTTTTTGATAGCACCACGTAACTAATTATGCCATGTTGTCTTTGCAGACAGAGAAGCAATAATATAAAATATATCATGCTCTGCATGAAATCTGTACAGAATAGAGCAATACTGTTACAAAACAGAATCTCTATAAAATTACATGGTCATTCAGAACTTTATGCATAAGTAGGAACTCCTTACACTCTCAGCTATAAAGAGATTTAAATGAAAATGTTTCTTCTTAGAAATTAATATATACTAGACTTCTCCCTTTTTCACATAAGCCTGTGATGATGGCCCCATAGGGCTTAAACATATAAGGCATATTTTATCCAGCAAGTACATGTTGTCCTTGGTGATCTTTATTACTCTGTTGTCAGTGTACAGTATAATGGTTGAAATGTCTCACAAAACTTGTGCAACTGTTTTAAACAAGTTTAATTTTTTTAAGGCCTTGCACCGTCCCAAAACTGGCACTTGGAATTGCCCATGATTATGGTGCAGTGTGGTGCATGGAATGGTGCCCCTCTGGTTGTTATGAGCCACCAGATGTGGGGGTGCCTGAATGCAGGTTAAGACGACTTGGGCTCTTGGGTGCCGCATGTTCTGATGGCACCATACGGATATTCTCCATCTGCTTTCCATCTGAGGTGCAGGACAAAATCTGTGACAGGTGAGACACTTTCTGTATCTTGACAGAATTTCCCTCCTCAAACTCCCTCAGCATATCAAGCAAATATGGTGGTCATGAAGTATCCCATAACACAAGTCATGTCATTTCTCCTAACATTCGTGTCTGTTGATATTTTCAGTACCCCGATTTTCAAAGTTGATGCCATGCTGACACTGGTACTAGATGATAGGCAAACCTGTCTTCTTGGTGACTCAACATGGCAGTGCACTCGTTTGTCCTGGTATAAGGGCAAGGGACACAGGTACCTACACTGCTTACTCTGAGTGTGTTTGTGACAATCAGGGAACCTGTGTTTTGTGTTATCCACATGCTTACCATTCAGTGATATAAAAATCATTATTTTAGTAGTTATGGGTAGAACCAATAGAACCACCAAATGCTTCATTCAGTATTGCAGTTTTGATCTGTACCAAAATGAACTACATTGTTGACAGCATGTCTACTCAGTGAAATCATGATTTAATGTGAGTAAATTGGCAGAGGGGATAAAATGGAGTGTCTGGTAGTAATGTCAAAATAATAGCTATTAATGAAGTTTATGAAGCAACTGTCAGTGTTTATTATGTATCTGAGGGCCAGATCACTCTACCACCAATTGTTATAGCTGCTGAAGTTGTGACAAAAAGGAATATGATGATACATGAACCCCAAGCTCCTTATAGAATTCTGTGGTAACTACCAGTCACCTACCCACCCACCCTCCACACATCCATTACAGCTAATTCCACTTCCTACAAACATTGGCGTGGAGGAGAAAGATCTGACTCTCGGCTCTGAGGACTTGCAGTATATACTTGTACATAAGCACAATAGATCACTGTAGGTCACAGTGCAAGGGCCAAGAAAGCCCACCCCTTATACATTCATTCATTCATATACTTGTATATTTGAATAACCACATTGTAAAAATGATGTACAATGAAACCTGGCTTTTACATTTTTCAAGCCACTATTTAAAATAAATTTAAAATAAGGGAACTGAAAATTTATGTAGCTGTTGCAATTAAATACTCTCAATTAATATTGATTCTTTCACATATATATTGAAGCAAGTTGCTCCCACTTTCTGCTGAACCCTGTACACCTCATTTTCAGTACCACTGAGGGCAGCCGTTGTGTTATCATCAACATCGAAATTTCCTCACAATGTTGAGGCCCTAAAGTGTTGACAGAGATCCTCCTGGAGGTTCACTTTTTCAGTCATCTTCCCCTTCTTCCTCCGCATACATTACATCATGGTCACAGGATACATATTCTTAAAATGATGCTTTCAGCTGACCCCACTCATCTTCAGCTGTGCCAAGTTCTACATTTTCATCATCATTGGTGCGATTTAAATTGAATTCACATTTCTCAAAATACAGTTCACTGCTCATATGTGTGACACAGCTTCATGGTTCTGCAATGAAATGTGCATCCAAAACAGTCACCTTCATGAGTGTCCCAACATGAAGTAACTTGTGATCAGTCACAAAAATAGCTTTTGTTACAAGTTGCTTATGGTAGTAACATATGAATGGTGTGATTATTCCCTGGTCAAGTCGTTAGAAAATGCTGGTGCAATATGAGGGGAAAAATATAACTTTCACATGCTTTAGGTGTCTTGCGTCATGGAGATGATCAATATACAGGTCAATGAAAAGTAAAATCTTTCTGTTTTGGGAACACATTTTGACATCTAACACCCTCAAATGGCCAGTAAAGATGGCCTGTGTAACCGATGCTTTTCTGCTCGCTGTGTATTTAATGGGCAACTTTATGACATTTTTAAAGTAACAGGAGTTTTAATTCTTCTCAGTGACCAATGGTGGGAGTTTGTCAGTCTCATTGGCACTGCAGTCTAACAGAACTGTTATCCTTTCCCTGGAATTCTTTCCATCACTGCAAGGATCCCCTGTCAAACTCCATGTCCTGTTAGGTGGAAACCTGAAGAACAGCCCAGTCTCATCAGCATTATAAATGTTCATAAGTTCATACCCCCGAATAATTTTGAGTGACTCTTCCTTTCTCCATTTCCTCACACTTCTGCACTCTCCTAATATAGTTTTGTATACGACACTGTGTTGCTGCTTGAAACTGTTGATCCAGTCTTTAGAAGCTTTAAAATCATCAGTGCCCAGCCTTGTTCCAGTGTCTTGAGACTTTTCCCACAGCAGTGAGCCACTGATGACTGCATTGCTGCCTCTAGCTTGTTTAAACCATGTGACCAGCAAACTCTCCCGTTCTTGAAATGCTGGCTGTTCCAGGCACCTCTGACCAGAGAACCTGCCATATTGCATAACCCTCTTCAGTGTCTTTTCCTGTTTTTACCAGTAGTGTTTAACTTTGATGCCATAGTTTGTAATATCACAACCAGTGCAACGTGTATTTCCTTATTAGCTTCCATTTGGGCTGGAATCTCTCCTTGAATAGAAGACACTTTCCTCTTCTTTGATCTATGGGTTTCTGGGCCACATAAGTATAACATTGCACTTAGATGGCACAGGCAATCCTAAGTCAGATTTACACAGCGCAACAGAATCCTGATATATCATTCCTCTTCTTTGATTCACTAATCATAATGAAATAAGGATTGCAACAGAGTCACAAAGGAACACTAACACAGTGACGTAATAAGCACATGGACCTTGCAGTGGCCACTTATGGTGCAGTGCAACTAGAAAATAAAATAAAAGTGTCTGCCAGTTCAGTTCACAGAATATCAAAAAGCAGCACTAATATAGTGATGTAATGAGCACATGGAACTTGCAGTTACTTGTAACTCATCACTACACAGACTGAACAGTGGTGGGAAACATGGCTCTTCTGTACTCGCACAACCTTGAAACCATGAATTTTTGTTTCATTGGCACTACAGCCCTCATTTGGGCCTAGGCCTACCTCCATGAAACTCTCCGTTCCCTTCGATTTACTAGATCTTAGACATACGGTAGGACTCCTTGGGTGGGTGATCAGCTCTTTGCAAGGCCTCTACCTGTACACAAACACAGAAAAAAGCACACAAACATCCATGCCTTGAGTGGGATTCGAACCCATGATCCCGATTTCCAAGCAAGCGAAGACAGTGCATGCCTTAGACCACTCGGCTACCATGACCGGTGAAACCATGAAATAGCCAAATGCCCCCCCCCCTGATTTCCAGCTGAAAGCACTTAAAATGACAGCAACTGGCAAATGTATGCTCAATTTGAATGTAAAACAAGGAATTGGGTAGAGGACAGACAGATATTTTAGTAAAATTTAACATTTGTTGTGTGGAAGTTTTGGTGGAACCAACAAAAACATGTAGAATTGTGGAAAGTGTAGATTCACGGAACATAGAATCCAGGTTTCATTGTATGTGGCCTGATTATTAGCAAAAACAAAAATATTATTAATAGCTATAAAAGTAAGAGAGAATGGAAATTAGCTATGAATATAAAAAGAAAAATGCTAGATAACAAATTAATAGCAACAAAAGCGGACAAAGGAAAAACATTAGTAATAATAACAGAAGAAGAGTATCAACAAAAAATAAAGAAATTCATACATGAAAATAATTTTACACTAATTAACAAAGACCTAACACAACAATACCAAAATAATATTAAACAAACAATAAAACTATGCACAAATACAATACAAAAAGAACAAAAATGGAAATACACAAACATAACACACCTATTAGACCCATAGTCAATTGGAGACATGCCCCAGCATACCAAATAGCAATACTGTTATCCAAAACACTACAAGAATATTTACAGTTACAAAACGCATAAAATATACATAACTCCATACAATTAATGAATGATTTAAACACCATTATAATAGATGAAAACATAAGATTATGTTCTTTTGATACAGAAAACATGTATACAAACATACCTAAGGAAGATATAATGAACATGACTAAAAATATACTACAACACAATCATAATGCAAATATAAATACACAAAGAGAAATTATGTGCATATTGAACACTATACTAGACCAAAATTATTTTCAGTATGAACAAAAATATTACAAACAAAGAGATGGTTTAGCTATGGGAGCTCCAACATCTGCAGTATTAGCAGAAATATATATCCAGAACAAAAAAGAGCAATACAACACATGCAATCACAAAGGAAGGACACAACATACACAAGAATATAGGAAGAGTACTCCCATAGGAGAGGATTGACGTAACTCGCGAATTTGAAGTGCGGCGTATAGATGATAAATCTTGAAAAGTTTTAATATATAAACTTTATTATTATATATGACATATATACATTTTAATCAATTTATAAAGGAGACATGATGGCATACAGTGCAATTGTTTGACGGTAATAATACCACACCTGATGATGGCACATTAGTGCCAAAACATGTCGTGAAGAGAAAAGTGAAATTGTGTGCACTGTAAGATGGTTGGTACAAATACACATCATGAACCTGATTATTTCATTCGCAGTAGTGTTATGATGGAGTAGCCAGTAAACCTGATTATTTGCGTACACATTTCACAATTTTTCTTCAATTTAGAATCCACACAACATTCCCTGCCCATCATATTTTTATTCATGATGTATTGAAATGTTTGGTGTGTGTTCCACAGGATAATTGCTGGAAGTTTCACAAATGGCATGGTGGCTGTGTGGGACATTTCAACTGAGTCACCCCTGTTAAGCAAGAGGACGGGTAAATCATACATTATATATCCGTACCACTGTTTCCAGGCCCACATTGGAGTGGTTTCAGGTATGTTGAGTGTCAGATCTGGAGGCCTCATGTATGAGGATCACTGAAGTTTTTCTCCACACTTTTGTTTCTCACAGGGAACTGTCTAAAGGAGCTCATGTACTTCATACTTCATTTACAAACACTTTCTTTCAACATCCTGCCCTTTTCTATGGCTTTACCCCACTTGGAAGTAAGGGCCTGTATTCCTTGGTGGTAAAAATTGCCTTTGAAGTCTATATGAGCCATTTTTTCACTTGATATTGTCATCATTATGCCTGAATTTCTGTCTGTGAACAGTGATCTTCCCTTGACCAAGCATAAAAAGTCTGACAGTACCAGATCTGGGCTGTATAGTGGATGGGGCAACACATTCCAGTGCTGTTCGTATGATGGCTTCCATTGTTTGTAGATTGGTGTGAGGTCTTGTTTTCCCATGGAGGAGAAGGACATCTTCCATTTTCTTTGCATATTCAAGCTCAATACATTAGGCTTTCAAGTCATCCGCAGGGTAACTGTGTATCTCAGAAGTGATGGTTGTTCCTTTCATATCCCAGAAGACAATTTCCATCACTTTTTCCTCTGATGAAGCCGTTCAAAACTTCCTCTTGCATAGGCAGCTCATGTGATGCCACACCATTGATTGTCATTCTGTTTCTGGCTCAAAGTGGTGAATCCATGTTTCACCAACAGTCACCGTTCATGACAGGAACGGATCCATTTCCATCTGACATGTATCATTCCAGCAACTGAGAATTGTGTCCTTCCTCTGAACTTCATGTTAGGTGTAGCTGTCGTGCAACATGTTTCTCTACTGATTCCAAGCAGCGGCTTCTTGATCCGCTTCATGATGTTCACCATACATTGCATGGGTGTCAGGCCCAAGGTTTCTCAGCTGCCTCATAGTTTTTTGTGAAGGCTGTCATTTGCTTGTTGAGACAGTCTCTCACATGTTTCATCCAGTGTCCACATATGCTTCTCTTAACAGTGGTATCCCTGAAAAACTATTTCAGGCATCTTTAAATATTCTGAACTGCTAACAACCATTAAGAACTCTTGATATTTCTCTATTTACCATAATAATTTTGATAAATTTCTGCCAAGAGGAAGAGTGTGGGGTAAAGGTTTCTGGGTGATCCTTGTACATTCTGTTTGCATAGGAGCACTGCTAATATGCATCCATGTACAGAAAAACCTTTACTCTGATGTTCTTGAAATGTAATAGTTTCATCATTTTGTGAAAGATGTCATTAACACTTTCACTGCTAGTATGTTAAGTAACTCTCAGTACCCTCTGTGCTGAATTATTTTTGAATAAATCTTTTATAAATAATTTAAGTGCAAAGTATGAAAATTTGTATAAAATGTAACTAATCTTACCTCAGACAGGAAACAAGCAGCAGAAGTTGCAAAAATGTTGAATTATTCAGTATTTTTCACGGGGGAAAAGTCCATTTAAATCAGGGTTGTCCAAGATGGCCAAAAAAAGTACATAATCACTATCCTGGTCTTATCACTATGTCACATGTTGACCAAATTCCACAACTTTATTTAAAACTATTATAGTAAGCACCGCACATTAGACGAAGCCATTTTTACTAGCCCACCAAGTTTGAATGAGACTGATGCAAAGAAACCTGAGATTTGAAACTCTAAAGTTGCAATACGGGTTTTGTCGATCACAGCAAGGGCGCCATGTTTTTCGGAGATTGACATATGTTGACCGCAGCAGTGCAAGTGTAAATTATGTTAGTTGTGTTAATTTCAATTTTATCTATAGAGATACACACAGCTCATTATTTCTTCATTTCATTTGTCCCCAAGAAAGGGGGTAACATGTTGTTTGTCACATATTTTCTCATTTGTCATCCTTGTAGTCTGTATGTTGCTCCCATGGTTTGATGTCCAGGCCCTTTATACCATTATTATATTGTGACATGAAATCCAGAAGAGACAGCCATTGCTAGTAAATGGTCTGTGAACATAGTTCCACAGCAACAAATCAACATGCAACAATAGAGGCACTGTTGGAAACAAAGTTTTCTGTGCAGTCTGTCCCAAGGCTATATAACAATGACTGCCAGAAGAGGCAAAAGTGGCCATCATGAGAGATTTGCCAGCCAGCTGCCATCCAGCAAGGATATGAGTATGGAAGCAGAAGAATACTCATTGTTGGGATGCTCTACATCTAGTGATAAGACTACTGAGGAGAGTCGTAATTGTAATTATGTTAATTTTGAATTACACGAATTACACTAAACACGTTACTAATTTCAGGTTGTGTCATTTCAGTTTGAAATAAAATGTCTGATTATGATGAGATTGAAGCTTCATTCAGATCCATGTGTTGTGCAGCACAGTATAGACAGTGCTAAGTTGTGGAGTAAGACTTCAGAGTTGTTTAACTGTTGCTGTAGATAACTTTCTCTGTTTGCCACATGCAGCCATTGCACTGAGCCCCCATGGTGGTGGCCGCTACATGATGACTGGCTCGTTTGATCGCACCACAAAACACTGGGATTTGGAGAATACCAGTGCACCCATCACTGTGAACAAGAGAGGGTCTGTCACTGATGGTGTGTGGCTCACCCACTGGGTGTCCGCTGTGAACTCACTGGATGACAGCTACTCGTAAGTGTGAGATGTACATTGATGGGAAGTTTACTCAGTTTGTAGTGTGTTACTTAGAAAGGGTGGAATGATACATGCTTGATGTAAGGCATGATTGGCTTGGAAATAGCACCTGTCAGAAAGTGGTTGATGTACATACAGCTGAATATGACATGAAAGTAATTTTCTCATAACATTTTGGTAATACCAAGCATGCTTTGTCTCATATTCAAGGGATGCATGTTCTAAATCTCCAGTATCTTGGGGGGGGGGGCACAGCACGCGCTGTCCTTCCATCCTAAAGATGCAGGCAGTGAGTTCATCTGAGACGTTGGTAAAAGTCTCCTATGCTGTTTGATATCATAGGACAGAAGACCACAGTTCCAGCAACTCATAATTACCATATTTACTTGTGTAATTCTCTCACATACTTTCCCTGTTTTTGCAATCAAAAATTGGAATGCATGATTTATGCAAGGATTTTATAAGCCTTCAAAAACGAAATACATTACCTGCTACCAAAACTAATATGCAGTATCTTCATGAACTGCTCTCTAGTATTGGTTCACTGTCCCCTTCTGCATCCACATTTTCATTTTCAATCCATGTAATCCTCACTTCATCAAGAACATTCCTAATCTCAGTTTTTAAAAAGTTTTTCATAATTATTTTCATTGACATCATGTTACAAGCTCATACTGTCCAGTCACAGATCATTTCAATCAACAGTCTTCTTATCTGTCAGCATCAACTCATGTCCTCCTCCTGCCATCCATTACATATACAGTTTTCTAACATTGTCCTTGAATGGCCCATTAGCCGACAGATCAGGAGGTTGTAAAACTGATGATTCAAAAAGAAACCTTCCACTGGGGCTTACAACAATGGCAGGATCAATGGAGAGAGAGAGAGAGAGAGCATGTGGGGTGGATGCTCAAGTGTCCTACTTTGAAGGTGATCAGGTACACATCACCATGTCCTACCATTACTGTACAGTACCACCATTTTGGGAACTTTTTGTTTTACTGCCCCTCATATTTTACTTTATACATCACAAAATATGACATTCACACAAGTTTCTATGGTTCTGCTCTCAGCCAACAGATACTGGAACTGAGTATGAATACTGAATATGCAGCAGTTGTATACCATGTATCATGGGTAAAGTTCAGAAATTCTCAGTGTACTCAGCATGTGGAGCAACCTGATGCATGTAAGGCTTTTCAACTGTACATGCATAGTCGATTCACGAATGGAATGTTGTGAATCAGCTGTAGACTAAAATGAAATTGGTGAAATATTTGATTATTTTTTCTTAATTTCACAGTGAAAAGACAGGTTGCATGAAATATGCATGGGAAAGTATTGCATAATTTCTGTGAATCTTTCATGTTTGCTGTCATAACCAATCATCAGTGCAAATTATAGTTACATATGTATTCAGCCAGATATTGCATCGACACACACTATACAAAATTCAGTGCAGACTCTGTGGACAGGTTTCAGTGGATATTTTGCTAACGCACTTGAAGATCAATACAAAGAGACCAACTGGGGTGGTGTATCTGTCCTTGAAACTTTCCATAAATCCTTGCATTTTTTCACCCCTACCCTAGAACATTGTGTTAGCATAACGGGACCAAAGAATGCAGAGCTCGGTTCACACTAGTGTGAAAATAGTGTTACAAACTCACCATGTGAAACAAAAGTGAATGAATATTAAACAACATATAAGTCTCAAAAAAGCCTCAGTAGCCCCGGTTAAGCCGCAAACCGGTTAATCCGCCCCCGGATAATCATCGAGAGTTGACTGTATGTGATAAATTTTTCATGTTATCAAAATGTTGAACATGGTAAGAAATGTTTAGGTCATTAAAATCTCCAGCTTTTATGTTCACAATTGAATAGTGTAAACAGAGGATTTTGTTTGGATGTTCCTGCAAAACTGGAATCCCTTTGTGACAGGCATGAACTAGAATCATATTAATTTGGTTTCTGTTTTGATGATAGATGAAAGTCTGGTCATGGAGAGTGCTACACATGTTGTGTTGTGGACTGACTGACATAAAGTATTCTGTGCTGTGTTGCAAATACATGAGCTATGATGGAACCTTTGTATGTTGTATGCTGTAGTTAGAAGCTACCCATCTGGTTTCAGCGGTGAACAGTTTGTCATGTTCCATTCCCAGTGCTTTTGTTTCACTGGTAGGAGGGCACACAACACCATAGCATGGTTCCATGCAGTCAAGCTCAGTGGCCCTTATCATTCAGGAATAAGAAATTTAAATCTCTAAGTATTATGGAGCTGGTGGCCAGGCTTTAACATTGTAGCAATGGTCTCTACATATTAAGCACAGCAATGTGATGCTTAATGTACACCCATATTGACACACTGATGTATAGACAGTAGAGGTTAAAATTGTAGAAACTATCACTTGAGCATGAAAAGCTTCATGGACGCATTGGGTTATTTGAATAGCAATGACTGTTTTGTTCATTTCAGCTTGGGGCATGCAAATGGAACTTTGAACCCAGTAAGGCGTTTTGGGTTCAGCAGTTATCCTCTGCTGCCTCAGAATTCAGTGGCTTGGGTAAGTGTTATTGATTTCAATTTCAATTTCAATTTATTTTTGTTCATCAGATCTACATTTGGCGATGGTGCCTCCAGATATAGAACACGTCAAAGTCCAGGTTACAATAAAATTAATCCAGAGGACTACGTCATAAAGATATTACAACATATTTACAACCATTGTTGCAATAACTATTGATACAATGATTGATACATTGTTATAATTAAATACAACATGCATATAACACTTGCATTGTCACTTATTATCATAATTACAAAAAAATTACAAAGTTAAAATTTCATGATGACTACGTATCATTTGTCCCTAGTCCAATAAAACATACAATCAGGCCTCGTACAGACAGCCCAAGTTGTCAGGATAACACACAGGTCGCAGGAAAACCACTGTTATACGCTTATACACTTATATAGCTGTATAATCATCTCTTAAAATAATCATCAAGTGTATATAAAGAGTTTAAATAAAGGAGTTCCTTTAACTTGTTTTTAAACTTATTTATATCATTAGAAGTTACTTTAATTTTATTATGTAGTGCACTGTAAATCCTTACAGCCATGTGAGTTACCCCATTACCATATTTCGCCAAATTTACCTGGCTCATATGTATGTCCATATTATGTGTAGTGTTTATATCATAGCAATCCCTATTTGTATTAAATATTTCTTTGTTTTTTACTACAAACACCAGAAGAGAGTATATATACTGTGTTCTTAAAGGGAATATATTCAAATTCTTAAACAGTTCTCTGCATGACTCTCTGAAACCACATCCTATTATTATTCTTATAACTCTCTTTTGTATCTTAAAAACTCTTTCAGCTTGTGCTGAGTTACCCCAAAACATTATTCCATATGTCATAACAGAATGGAAGTATGAGTAATAAACACTTTTTAATGTTTTTACAGACACCACTGGTTTTACATTTCTTATCATATAACAAGCTGTATTTAGTTTCTTTATTATCTCCTCTATATGTCTGCCCCAAGTTATATCATTTTGTATAGTCAGGCCAAGAAATTTTATGTAATTTGTGTTTAATAAAACCGTTCCTATGCCCCCCATTTCTCTAACTAAATTATTTTTTACAGTGAAGTTTATATAATATGTTTTCATTAAATTCAGTGACATTAATTTTTTTTAAACCAGTCCTCCAATATCCTGTATACTTCATTTATTGAATTTTTAAGTTTTATTGGATTGTCTTGAGAAATTAAAATCAGAAAATAGAATGGGAATACTCTTAGTTTCTAAAATCTTTGGCAAGTCATTTATATATATTATAAACAACAGTGGTCCTAGTATCGACCCTTGTGGGACACCATTAGTTACTTTAACCCATTGTGAGTTTACTTTACTACTGTTTGTCCCACTGGAAATAGCAGTTCTCTGTTTTCTATCCAATAGATATGACTTATGTAGGTCGTATTGCTTGTCTTTTATTCCATAATACCTCAATTTATCCAATAATATATCATGGCTAACACAATCGAAAGCCTTTTCTAAGTCACAGAAAATCCCAGAGACTTGCATTTTTTTATTTAAAAAGTCTGGTATTCCAGAGATAAGTCTATACATTGCATTTTCAGTCCCTTGATTTTCTCTAAATCCAAATTGATATTTATTTAATATACTATTATCATTCAAATGTTTTAACAATCTACTATAGATTACCTTTTCAAAAATCTTACTAATAGATGTCAATATGGATATAGGTCTGTAATTTGATACTAGGTTTTTATTACCTTTTTTGTATATTGGCATAATTGTAACATATTTTAGTCTGTCTGGGAAAATACCCTCCTGCAAAGCTCTGTTACATAAGTAACTTATCGGTTCACTAATAAAGATTTTAGAGGCTTTGAGTATATTATTTGAAATTTCATCATATCCATGGGTTTGACTAGATTTTAGGGACCATATAATCCTTTCTATTTCCCTACTCGTAGTTTTTATAGTTTTTATGCTAGGTAGTGGACTCCCAAATGCATCAGTCAAGTATGTCATATAATTAGTATTTTTAGATTTGAAATTTTTACCATTTCCTTTTATATATTTATGTATATTATATACCACTAAAATACCTATTAAATGTTTCAACAATATCATTCAAGTTAGTATTCTTTTTACCTTCGATGTCCAAGGTTTGAATAATGTCTCTATTTCCTTTCTTTAACACTTCACTATTTATTATTCCCCAAGTGGTTCTAACTTTATTTTTTGAATATTTGATTTGATTATCAAATGTCATCTTCTTAGCTAGATTTATCACTCTGTTTAATATTTTACGATAGCTCTTATAATAGGTGGCTAATATAGGGTTATTACTTTTTTTTTGCTTCAAGATATATTGTTTTTTTATTTCTACAAGAAATTCTTATACCAGTGGTGAGCCATGGTTTCTGTTTGTATCTTTGTCTACTTGTTATTGAGAACGACTCATAAAAATGTCTCAACAAAATATTTAGAAAATGAATAAAGCTAGTATTAATGTCATTATTGTTATAAACTAGTTCCCATTTTTCATAACTTAGTTTCATTGTAAATTCTGCCAAATTATAATCATTTATATTTCTTTTAACTATAATTTCATTCTTTTTGATACAAGGTAATGGAAATTGTGCAATTAATAATTGTGCTTCATGATCAGATAATCCATTAGTGATAGAGAGAACTTCATAGTCAATAATATGTTGTTCATTAATAAATATATTATCAATAATTGTGGATGAATTTGGTCCTATTCTAGTAGGAAAGGTAATAATACTACTAAGATTGAAGGAGCTAAAAATATCTTCAAGTCTGGTTTTCTTATGAGAGTTTTCTATAAAATTCACATTGAAATCTCCACAAACAATAATATTATCCTTTTTTATATACAAATTTTGTAGAATTCATTCCAGTTTACTCAAAAATATTTTATAATCACTGGAAGGGGATCTATATATAGTTAAGATCATTATTTTAAAATTTATAGTGACAGCACAGGCTTCAATATCCTTATCACAACAAAATTTATCAAGATTAATAGTATGTGTTGTTAAACTATCATGCACATATATACACATACCACCATTATTAAAATTGTTCCTACTATAATATGCACCTAGAGTATAATTGGTCAATTTAATATGAGCTATTTCATCTCTACCAAGATGATGTTCAGTGAAACAGATTACTTGAGGTGTATACTCTTGTAAATGACATAATATTTCATTATACTTATTTCTTAAACCACGTATGTTTTGGTGAAATATTTTTACAATGTTATTTTTCGTGGTTTTTGTTTTACACTTATTAAATGGTTTTACCATAAAAATCATTTGCTTTTGTTGCTGGTTTTTTTCTAGGTCACGTAGATCTTTTGCTATTATCCTCAATTTTTTCACCTTGACACTTATTTAATTTTACAGACTTTTTACAGTTATTCGATAACACCACTTCTTCAATTTCATTTTGTGAAGTTGAATTTTCTTCAGGCAAAATGTCCTGTTTCCATTGCATTAGGATAGGATTAGTTTTTGACTTAGTTAAGAGTTGATTGATTATCTTTGCCAGCTCTGAGGCAACTAACTCTTTGCCCCATTGATTTAGATGTTGTCCATGCCTCGTAAAGTGTTGTCTTTGTAGATCAATTTCCATTAGTTTCACATTTGGATTCAGTTTGCATATTTTCTTTACTTGCCTATTGAATTTCAATACCTCTTTATTTACACAGGAGATAGTTGTAAGATCATATCTATGTAGTGAGTGGATTATAATGAGTGGAATACAGTTGAATGTGTTGTTCAAACATTTTCCTGTTATAACTGTTCAGTTCTGTATAGGATTTGAGGTTCTCACAGTGGCAGTTATGAAGAGTTCTGTCTTCTGAGCTCTATTGCCATGTAATTTGTTGAAAATCAGTTGACATTTTGGAAGAACATGTCGCCTCTGTCTTCGAGGTCAAAGAATAAGCTATACAAGAAACCAGCATGAAGCAGGTAGCAAGCAGAGCAATCCACTTGCCAGATGCTCAGGTTTATATAAGATGGGGCCATGTAGGACCATACATGCAGCTCTTTACCTCTGCCTCTGTCAACACCCATCAGCCCTAAGTATTTCCTTCCTATCCTTGCTTTCTCCCAGTACTTCACCCTTTTTTTATCCCCAACTGCATGCCTACAATCCACACACAGCTGCTGTCCCATTTTCCTCACTTCTTTGCCCACCACACCTTTACTACCTTCCCAGATCTGCACTAGCAGTCCTTTTCAGGGCCAGTAATAGTTATCCTTGTCTTGGCTCCTATTGGTTTGCTCTGTTCTGTCTGTTCTATGAGAGAGCCACTGGAAACTGGTGAGTTGTCTAGCAGTTCCCTTCTGCTTTTCTATATGAACACAAGCTTCTAGTAGGCAGATTGTCCTGCTTCTGGCAGGTATCTTCCTTGGCTTATTCTTCAACCCTGAACAAGGGGGTGACATTTCACATCCTGTATGAAGGTTCTCTCCACCTCTTGCCTGTAGAGGATCAGAGAAACCATCGTGTTACTTATTAACATTAGGTAGTACCTAAAAGAAGCACCATGCAGAACAGCACATATGAATTAGTTTCATTGGGGTGTTTAATTTGCAGGGTTTGTCAACCTGTGACTGGGTGAATGCTGTAGCTCAGGGCACATTGGCTGGGGAACTGACAGTAATCTTCTCCCACCAACTGCTGAATGGTATAGACACAGAGAAAGCCAGGAAGGATAATAGAATGGTACGTATGATGTGAGTGGACATGAGAAGTCAGTTTGCTGTTGCTGTGACTGTCAAACTAGAGCAAAAAATTGATTTTATTACCATACCAGGTTGTTGAAAGTTTATTCACCCATCTGAGCATTGTTACAGCTACAGAAATGGAAACATTTCCATGGACTTGTTGGAAGATAAGTACTGAAACTTTGAACAATGTCTGCAGGTAGGCACCAAGTTTCCTAACTGGTAATCTTGTGTGTTGATAATTAATTCCTTATGTAGTAGTAATAACCATTACTTCTGACCAGAGTGGAAGTCAAAATTGCTACGACAGAAGTCTGATTCCTTGACCTCTTTCAAATAGTACGAGGTGCTGTCAGAAAGTTTATGGGCTGTTATTGTTGTAACTGTGTCGGTGAAAGAAAATGAAAGGGCAGGCTAAGGTCACACTTCCGCAAGCCTATTGCATCAGTCTGCCATATGACTCCACACTGTGAACACACACTGTTTTACACAAGTGCTTTTTCGACTTTGTGTTTAGTTTTGTCTGCAATGGATGGCAAAATCGAGCAACATGTCTGCATCAGGTTTTGTGTGAAGCTCGGTAAATCCACCACTGAAATCCTTGAAATGCTTCATGAGGCTTTTGGAGAACATTCCTTAAGCCAGACAGTGGTTTTTGAATGACATTCATGTTTCAATGCCAGTCGAGAGTCAGTTGAAGATGACAAACATTCAGGGCGACCAAGCACCAACAAACAACAGAAAATGTTGAAAAAATTCGAGAACTCGTCCATGAAGGATATCGCCAAACAATCCATGAGCTCACAGACACTGTTGGAATCAGTTATGGGGTTTGCCAGGAGATCTTAACAGAAAATTTGAACGTACACCGCATTGCTCCTTCATCATGACAATGCACCCACCCACATGTCTCTGAAAACCACAGGGTTTGTGACTAACAACATCATGGTTATCGTTCCCCATCCTCCATACTTGCCGGGCTGAGCCCCCTGTGATTTCACTTTGTTTCCCAAATTGAAAATGAAGCCGAAGGGATAACGTTTTGAAACATTGTGGGTATCTCTGTGCAGCCCCATTTACTCCCAAGCAACCTTGGGGGTTCTAGTAAGGAGCTCTGCTGCAGGGCTTTGCAGTCAGTATTGTTAATTAGGTTTCCAGTTCCTACATGGTGGCATGTTAAGAATTATGCACATGTTAGCATAAATTCAAGTTGCCTACTACTGTTGAATGTTTCCATGCTCATACATCTAGATGGTCCAGCAAAAGTAACAAATTAAGCTGATTTTGAATTGTTTCATTTTGGTCCGTTACACTATCAATCACCAATTATCAATAGAACCTCCGTCGAGTGTAACAATATATATTCTTGTCACCATTTTCTCACATTTGCCTTACATGTTTCGGCTCACAAAGAGCCATCATCAGAGGCATCCATGTTTTTGTTGTGGATGCCTCTGATGATGGCTCTTTGTGAGCCGAAACATGTAAGGCAAATGTGAGAAAATGGTGACAAGAATATATATTGTTACACTCGACGGAGGTTCTATTGATAATTGGAAATTAAGCTGAATTAATCATCATACATCTTAATGTTCTTCAAGCATAATTTCCAGTAGTATAGTTTAGTATAGTACAGTTTTTAGTTGTTACTCACAAAGAAAAATTTGTTGGTATTGGTATGTGATTGAGTGACTGTAGAGAGGGTTTGGATTGGTAATCAGATTTACTGGACCCTTAAACAACTTGTGACTACACTTTACAAATCACTGTCACATACAGACTAGTGTTCTCGGTCACAGTTTTCACTGCTGTGCTTAGTAGCGGCTTCCAAGGGCAGACACCTTGTTTAACAATGGTACTGGTATTGTTGCATGCTTATGAAGCTGTTGCCTAGCAGTGGGAATGTTTGCAGAGCCAATATTCATTAGCAGCGGCTGTCTGAGCTGGCTTCATAGTTCTTGCTTTGAGCAAATATGCCACAGTATAATCTGCCAAGCATTGAGTTGACTTTGAATTGTGGCAGTACCTTACCACCTTATGTTTTGAAGAGTTCAACAAAGTGTATACTCACTGCCACAAAATTGAGGCAAAGGCAGACATCAAGCAGGTACATGCTATTGCAGCTGTAGTGGCTGCCGGCTGGGATCCAGTCATTCTGAGAACAGAACAACTGAATGAGCAGTACATAAGGCCCATTCTGGAGGAAATAAAGACTGGACAGCGCCAAGAATGGAAATACATCACTGACTGAAGCCCTATGTACAAAAGCTACTGGGCCCAATGGAAGTCCCTTGCTGTGAGGTACAGCATGTTAGAGTGCAACTGGGAATCCACTGACGAACAATCTAAAATAGCCCAGATAGTTCTCCCTTGGAGAAGAGTGAAGGAAGTGCTGACCAAACTACACGGCAGACAATTAGGAGATCACTTGGGTGTCAACAAGACCCTGAATAAGGTTCAGCAGCCAGTCGTGGCCCCTGAACTAGGAATTGGAGCCAAATGCATCAGTACAATGTTGGGGCCCATGCTAAAGGATGGCCATCAATGTAGCAGGGCCTTTCCCATGAAGCAACCAAGGAAACCGATACCTCCTGATTGCTTTGGACTGTTTTACAAAGTGGCCAGATGCCTATGCCATTCCTAATCAAGAGACTTCAACAGTGGCAGCAGCGCTGGTTACCAGCATTATCTGCTGTTTTGGAGTACTGTAGCAGCTGCATCATGACCAGGGCCGTAGCTTTGAATCTTGTCTGATACAGGAGGTTTTGCAACGACTTGGAGTAAGCAAGATGCACACCACACCCCTGCACCTGCAGTTGGATGGCATGGTTGAGTGCTACATCAAAACAGTCGAGAAACAACTATGGAAGGTTGTCTCATCAGACCAGTGGGACTGGGTTGCAAGAGTACCCATCTTCCTCCTTGCTTACAGGGCATCCGCTCATGATACTATAAGCTTGACCCTAGTGTTTAGGAGGAACTCCAGCTGCCCTGCAACCTACTGTTTGGGGCACCCCCCCAACAATGAATGACCCATAATGAATCATGCGGCAAATTTAGTGTACAGTCTACATGACTTCCACAGTTATGCCCACCCACACCTGAAGCTTGGCCAGGGACCAGATGAAAACTCATTATGACAGACTGGCCAACTGCTTGGGCTGCAACATGGTGACAAAGTGTGGCTCTGTTGCCCAACCCGTACAAAGGTGACATTGCCCAAGCTCCAGTCCTCATGGGAAGGCCCGTACAAGGTAGTAACCCAGATAATGTGGTACACAGGATCCAGAGGAACCCTAGATCGAGGATGATGGTGATACACCTGGGCCAAATGGCACCATGTCAGGGAGCTGCTTAGGACCAGCGGCCTTGGGGAGGGATCAGTGGGAGCAGTTGGAGAGTAATTATTGTGAGGACTGAGCCACAGGGAAGGAAGGCAAGACTGATCACAGATGTCAAAAGCACAGCCCTCAGAAAAGAAGAGATGGTACACCTGTAGGCTATAGAGGGTGAATACCCTTAAGGAGGGAGCAGTGTGCCATGTAGACCCATTGCTAGTCAATGGTCGTAAAATAAGCAGCTATACAGCAGCAATTGATTGGTAACAGTTGTAAACAAAAATGTCTCAATGGCACTGATTCAACACACAACAATAGAGGTACTGTTGGAGGCTGTGTTTTCTACAGTGGTTCATGCCCAGGAGTTATAAGCAGGTCAAAGTTACAGCTTAGTTCAGTTGGAAGGGAGCTGCAATTCAGAGAGGACTTCAGCCCAGGAGCAGCCATTACCAGGCAACTATTAGTGAAGACTTGACAGCTCCTTCCCTCTTTACCCTTACAGCTTGGGGCATGGTAGCTGCATTTGTCCCTGGTTACTTTGTTGTGTTCTCAGTGCTCCCCTGGTGGACTAGGATGTCCAAGCTTTGAGCATTACCCCCCCAAATACCTAGTTAATAACAGTAAAGAAGTAAGTAAAGGTATCCCTGTAACAGACCGTGGAGGCCCATAGGGTTGTGAGATGTTGAGGTTCCCACATTTTTCTAGACAATTGGCTCATAGATGGCAGCAACGTTGTCAGCCTTACAAGCTGGCCGCCCTTTACCCCCAAGAATATTCTGGGTACTCATTTCTGTTAGAGGCTGAGTCGACCCCAGGGCCACAGTGCGGCTGGAAGGATTAGGACAATTGAAAAACATCCAGTGACCTCATTGGGATTTGAATCCATGACCTTCTGGCTTGTAACATAATGCCTCAACCAACTATGCTATCAAAATAAGGAACACTGCAATTACCACAACAGTAATAATAACATAATAAACTGACTATTAATCTGCAACATTTGCAAACAGTGAGAACATTACAAAACTCTGACCATATTCCCAGCTTTGCAATATTATTGAACCTATAACCCCAACCAGCTTGGTTGGTCCAGACAGGAATCCCAGAAAAAGAACGGAACTCACCACTCAGAATGTTACCCCATTATCATCACATTGAATAGAAACACAAATGAAAGCCTAAATACATAGAAAACATACCACAGCAAAAACTCTCATTGTGTTTTCAAACTCAGTCATCCAAAATGGGGCAATAAATCCCCAGCAAAGCCCTAGTTGCAATGCTTCCTACACACACATTGCAACAAGGCAGTCTATTACCCTCAATGGCCAGAATGAGAAACCAAAAATAATTTAGAACACGCAACCCTAACAGAATTTCACCACCTACCTCGCTGGCCACTGGCAATCATAAGACAAACTTTCAGCTCTGCACAATTTTATGGAGGGCCTTTACAGTCTAAACATCTAGGGGAAGGTGCAAATCACAGAGTACTTGGGAATGATTGGGTTATGTAAGCTGAGGAAGTAATGGCACAGATGCCTTGGGAGCAATGAAAGAAGAGAGGATTATACTTAGTGGGTTCAGACTGAGTCCACTTGGTACTGCAGCCACTATTGGCCTATTGTACCAGCCCCAGATGATAGGTGGTGATTGTGGA